TTGCTGTTAAGTTTTCGTTACTCTACCCAACATAAAATAATATAGCTTTTTCTTTAAATATTTTTGTAATGTGAATTGTGATGAATACATTTTATGCAGGGGAAATTTTTTTAAAATATATATTTTTTTAATTTTCTCCTACTACCGCTCCAATTATTAAATGGGACCACCACGTTGAGCCTACCTCATGGTAAATATTTGGATACATATTCAAAAAACCTTATGGCTCCTAACAAGGATGGGATGATTCAATCTAAGATAAACTTCAATTTTAGTCTTTGAAGTTAAAAAAAAAACGATACTTTAACTTTTTGATGTTTGAGAAATGATTTTAAATAATTTTCGACTACATTTTACCGTTAGTTGACTAACAAAAAATGACGTGGTATAATTGAAGTGACAATTTTTAGATGAAGTGGCAATTTTAGGATGAAATTGGATAAAATAACTTCCACTGATGTTAAAAGCACTACCATTTTAAGATGATATGTCTGTCAATAATTCTTAAGTGATTTTTAGTCAATCACTTATAAGGTGATTTTTAAGTGATTTTTTTGTCAAGAAAAAAATTAACAGAAAATTAATTTTTAAAATGGCTAGTGCTTTAAATTTCAAAACTTTCTTTCTATTTCACCTTATAAATTGAGAATTTTCTTTCAAAATTTGTTGTCACTCTATGCCTTTATTTATTATCTCAATGGTCCTTCTATCATATTTTTGTAATTTCTCTCGAAATTTTTAGTTTTCACGTTTATCTTTACCTTCTAAAATTTATCTGTGAGATATTTTTCCTCTCTAATGTCAAGTTCTTTAAAATCTATCTTTCTTGATATCTTGGACAAGAGTAGTACATCTATATTATAAACTTTTGTTAGGTTTTTTTTATTTTTTAAATGTGAGATCCTTAATATAATAGTCCACTTATATTATTCTTTATATTTTCAAGGTGAGATAGTCATATTTAGACATTCTCATTCAATTATTTCTCTAATTTCATCCTTAAAGTTGTACTAATTTTACTTCATCATCTAATGCATCTAACTCTCACTCTCCTAAGAATCTTTATTCAATCCAAAATCTTAAATTTGTATTTTACAATAAATTTATTATTTTATATATTTAGATATCTATATATAAATTAAATTTACTCAATCCTCCCTCTAACCTCTTAGATTTTGTTGATATTTAAGTTATTTTAACACTTTTCTACGCTTGACGATATATTATTGCAAGGTCAAAAAATGATGATAATATTGATTATTGAGAAATGGTGATCCTCACAGAGAATGGAAGAATACCGCCCTCATCATTTCCTGGGAAATAATGAATGCTTCTGGAATCAGCATAGCTAATTTGCTTCTTCAAGCCATCTTTTTCTAAAAAAAAAAAAAAAAATCACTCATACTTCTGAGGTTTTGGCCTTTTTCTTTTTCATTTCTTTTTCCTATTATTTTTTAGTACAACAAATGAATAGAAATGATTCAAATTCACCGTCTCAAATAGGCGTCAATACCGCTTAGCTAAGATGTGGTTGGATTCTTTTTTTTCCCTATTGTTTAAATAATCTTAATGTTCGGAGTGAAGTAAAGTTGTGGGTTTGAAATCAAATAATAAAAATCTAATCTGAACATAGTTGAGTTGGAAAAGGCTAAGTTAATAATTCGATGAATATATCCGTTGAACTCAAAAGGAAAGGGAACTTGCATTTCAATTCCAACAACCAAACCCACTTAACATTAAATTATTAAAAGGTAAAAAAAGGAAGGAAAGAAAAAGAAAAATAACACCTTTTAGAAAAGTAAAGGAAACAGAGGGTCAATAATGAAGTACGTAGATGTTATATTCAATAACCGCATCTCCTGTTTTGAAATCAATCTTGCTGGTTCTGGCTTCCGCGTATCCTCTGGCAAATCTGAACAGCCCGCTTCCTCCGATCACCGGCATCTCTCTCACCTTTTCCATAAATGGGTTTCTCCCGAAGATGGTGAGTGAGCTTCCGTTGTATTTCCCGCTAAAAAACGCGAAATTCATCGCCATTAACAGACCCGGATTCTCCTGCGAAGCCGCTGCGTAGAACCCCTCAGCTCTTCCCCACAGTTTTGACCTCGGGTCTGGCCCCGCTGTTAATGCGTTGTCGATCATTTGGACAAAACCGAACCCTGTCGTCGATGAGTTCGAAACCGGCGGTACGATCCGGACCGAGCTTGGGTTTTTACCAGTGAGAGTGTCGTGCCAATACAGACGGAAGTGGCTGAGCTTCTGTTTTCGGAGACCCAACAGTTTCCTGTCCACGCTCCTTACGAAGGAATCCTCATCTTCGGGAGTTGCAAAAGCTACGGCGGAGAAGACGAAAAGAGAGAGCGTGAGGAAGTGGACGGCGGAGATTGAAGAAATTCCGGCCATGGAATGGAAATCCTTTGTTTTTGCTCTGCTCTCAGTACGCGGACTTCACAGTCTATATATATATATATATATATATATATATAAAGCGAGTTGGTTACTATTCTGTTTGCAATTAGGGCTTCTATAATGTAGAGATGGGAAACATTCCA